GAAAAATCCATGGTGGTAAACTATTCCACAAGGAAGTTGTGCGAGGAAGAAAACGTCTTCTAAATCGCACAGTGGTGGACCGCCAATCATCCAGATGGTGTGGATGGTATCGGGAGTTCTGCCGCGATGTGCGTTCGTGAAATCTGGCGGCTGGGATTAATCCGAACAATTCCTCAGAGCACTCCCCATGGTAAATGCGAAAGAAAATGCAAAGAGATGCAACATCTCTTCGCAGTGCCAATGAATCGAGCCGATCGGAAAGGGCTCGGTCGTCGACGATTCGAGCCGCTCTGCGCTGGATGCGGTCAAGTGGAAGGAGCTGGCACTGGGGAGCCCCTGCCCAGAGATGGGAACAGTATTCCATGTGAGGCCGAACCTGCGCCTTGTAAAGTTGCAGGCGGTGTGCCGGCATGAAATACTGTCCCGCTCTGCTGAGCACGCCAAGCTTTTTAGAGGCCAATTTGGCCTTCTCTTCCAAGTGACCACGAAACTGCACGTCACTCGATATGTCGACTCCGAGGATACCGATACTGGCTGAGGCAAGAAGGGGAGTGCCTTGAAACTGAGGAGATACGACAAAGGGGTTCTTTTTAGCGGTAAACGCGCAAACTTGTGTCTTCTGAGGATTAAACTGGACTAGATTTAGTCGCCCCCAATCCGAGACTTTGTCCAGCAAAGACTCGACTTCAGACACAAGTTTGTTCCGGTACTCGGCGACGTTTTCCCGAGAAATATTGGCCCGGCCGGTGTATAGAGCATCACCAGTGCTGTCATCCGCATAGCAATGAATGTTACCAGTTAGCAACATATCATTGATATGCAGAAGAAACAGCGTTGGTGATAGCACACAGCCTTGTGGAACACCAGCGTTAATAGGCTTGTAGTCAGAACATGCACCGTCTACAACGACCTTGATGCTCCGATCTGCAAGAAAGCTGGTGATCCAATTGCACAATTTCTCGGGAAGCCCATAGGAAGGCAGCTTCGAAAGAAGCGCTTTGTGCCAAACCCGATCAAAGGCCTTCGCAATGTCCAGACTAACAGCCAACGCCTCCCCCTTGGACTCTACTGCCTCCGCCCATCTATGGGTCAGGTAGACCAGAAGATCACCAGCTGATCGACACCGACGAAAACCGTATTGGCGGTCACTAATCAGCTGGTGATCCTCAAGGTACCGGATGAGCTGGCAGTTAATAATGGATTCCATTATTTTGGAGAACAAGGAGGTGATCGCGATAGGCCTATAGTTGGACGGGTCTGAGCGGTCGCCTTTTTTAGGGATCGGGTGGACAAAAGCTGTCTTCCATGAATTCGGAACTACGCCATGGGAGTAGGAGTACCGGAAAAGACGCGTTAGGACCGGTGCCAACTCCGGAGCACACGTCCTCAGCACAATTGGGGGGATTCCGTCAGGCCCACTCGACTTCTGGATGTCCAGGGAGAGAAGTGCTTTGCGAACTGAGCGCTGTGAGAATAGCACATCCGGCATGGAGCACTCACACCGCGGGATGGTCGGCGGTATTTTCCCCCCGTCATCAAGAGTCGAGTTGGACGCAAAAAGGGAGCCTAAAAGGTCGGCTTTGTCTTTTGCGTCTTGGGCCAGTGAGTCGTCCTCCCTGTGCAGAGATGGTAGTGATGGCTTACAGAAATTCCCTTGGACAGCCTTGGCGAGAGACCAGAATGCACGGGTTCCCGAAGGAAGGCGAACTAGTTTCTCGCCAATTCTGCCTATGTGCTCTAACTTTGCCTTGGCAATAACTCTTTTGAAGGACCTGGAGGCGAAGTTATACTTCTTTTTAAGTGTGCTGGTGTTTACATCCCGAGTCACCGAAGCCGCAGCCCAGGCTTGATAACACTCCTGCTTACTGCGCAATGCAGTCTTACAGGAGCGACCAAACCAAGGCTGAGATCTGCCTCCGATGGGTACCACAGATGATGGAATAAATAGTTCCATTCCCTGTAGCACCACATCAGTGACAGAGTCAGCAACAGCACTGGGATCATCCGGCGAGAAGCAAACCCGCCCCCATGGGTAGGATGCAAAGAAAGACCGCATTCCGTCCCAATCCGCCGACCTGTAATGCCAAACACGGCGGCAACCTGCAGAACGCAACCGCGAAGGGAGCGTGAGTGGCACCACACTCCGGATCAGACAATGGTCCGAAGAGCCGAGAGGGGCATCGACGGAAACCTGATATCCGTCCGGATGAGAGGTCAGCAGAAGGTCCAACAGGGAAGGTGTATGATCCTCCACATCTGGAATCCGCGTAGGCGAAGTAACCAGTTGTGTCAGACCATATGCCAAGGCAAAGTCATAAACAGATCTCCCCGCATGATCGGTTAAACGTGAACCGAGCCATTCGGCATGGTGGGCGTTAAAATCGCCAAGGATCACGATCTCTGCGGATGGGACCTGTTGTAGCAAGGAATCTGTAGCCATTTGGACGTGGTCGATGAGTCGGTCTGTTTCGGCATTACCGCTATGGGACCTATAGAGGCACCCGTAGACGCGCGGATGGTCGTCGCTGTCTACGCGTAGCCAAAGGATGGACAGGTCCGAACCTTCAAGACTGCCGAGGCGTCGAGAACAGATGTCCTCTCTGACATACACGCAAACTCCAGCCCGAGGCACAAAGGAATGCTCCAATTTGTACCCCGGGTAGGAGAGATACGAAATATCAGTCGGAGAGGAAACCTGCGTCTCGGTCAGAAAGAGCAAGGCCGGCTTCGCCGTCTCGAGATGGTAGTGGACGGCGTTTAGGTTAGAGTGAAGTCCCCTGATGTTGCAGAAATTCACGGATAGCGTGGCAGGGGTCGCCTTGCTGTTCTTGCTCAGTTTGCCCCTAGCAGTAATGCTTTTGAGCGGAATTTTGCCCCCCCCAGAATACGCGGGGCAGCCTGAGCACCCACGCTCAGGATCGGAATAACATGGTCGTGGATGCTCAGCGAGGGATTCCCCAGGGGTGCTGGTACCCTCCTGGGGTAGTTCTTCGTGTAATTCCGCTACCATGTTGATGGGGGGGGGGAGCCTCCGGCCACCTGCACTCACCAGACGAAACGCAGAAGCAAAGCTTCTACTTCACGCCGGTATTCTGTGAGGTCGTGGTACCAACCCGGATCGAGCCGGCCCATACGTGCAACAGCAAAAAACTGCTGCAGGGCTCTACCACCGTTAAATAGAGGAATTGTTTTTTTGTCAATAGAGGAATTGCTAAAAAAGTTATGAATTTCTACGGCAGGCTGTGAAGCCGAAATACTTTTACTATGGCATCGTTTAATATGTATATTTAATCCCCTTTTACCTTTAAACAGCCTACCGTCAGCACAATTTTGACACTGTAGGAATAAAAAAAAATAATATATATATGGTTTCGGAAATGTGCAAAAATTTTTAAACGATTGCATGCTTTTTTGCGACAAACGAGCACACAGTCCACCTGATGGTAAGTGGTTACTGTGGCCCATAGACATCTACATTTATCCTCGTCTGCGAATCAAAATGCAGATGCGTTGTCACCTGTGAGGACTAAGATAGAATGCCTCTTTTCCAGTAAAAAGCGTCTCCGGTTCTCTACACTCACTATATGAATCACAGCAGTGTTAAGCTGCTATTTAACGCTGGTTTTCTGTGAGAGCGTGGTCCTTCCGCAGTCGAGCCGAACCCTTATGAGCTACTACAATGTTATAGCATGAGCTCTGAAGCGGTACAACTTCAGACTACCTAATAGATTCGGAGAGCGTTTTTCTCTCTAGGAGTAAGTCCGGATAGGTACCGCCCCCTTTTCTAGCCCTGAATAAATTTGGGTATATATTTGGAGAGCTTATCCATCCCGGGAATCAAGAGCCTCCTCTGTATTCCAGGAATGCTGAAATTGATAAAGAAAGGTAATATTTCATTCATATACAATAGGGTCTTATAAAGTATAATAATTAGATAAGTACTTAGTTTCAACAAAGTAATTAACTTAACTTCATAAATTATAGGTTAGGTTAGCGCTTAACATTGTTCTAACGAAAATGTAAGTCGAATTGAAGGATGAACTTAACTTTGCAGTGAAAAAATGGTCTCCCATAGATCGGACTACGGATTTACGGAGAAGTACGGATTTTTTCTCTTAGTTTTGCGGTGAGACCTTGCTTCTTGCCAAATGTTACGATTCTAGCTCAACGAGAAGTACCCTCTAGTGTATTTAATAAGTGTTAGCGTATATTGCCTTTGAAACTTTTTTTTACTTATTCAAGGGACTATAGACCTTATTATTTGTGATTAATTTAAACTTGTTACCTCTTACCGTTCCTGATAAAAATGGTCTTTACAGACAAAAGACGGACAACAAAGTGGTCCTATAAGGTTTCCCCTTTTCTCTTGAGGTAAAGAATCCTAAGAGTAGTAAAGAAGAAAGTTTTGAAGAATTGTTAGATTTCTTTTCGTTAAATACTTACTTATCAAGGTATCTTTGTTTTCATTAGTGTTGTGTGGAGTTATCTAGACACCATCTCTACTTTGTTTGCTGTCATTTGCTTGGGATTCAATGATTAGTGAAAAAAAAACAAATCTAAAAACGCAACCACAAGATTTTATTATACGGTAATCTCGTTCTGCATAGTACGGAGCGAAAACTAAAGTAGCGCGATTTAATCATCAAATCATGAGTGAACTAAAGAAATCGATTTATCATAGATTAAATTATGTTAAATTTGTGTATATAATGATTAAATAATGTGAGCAAATTGCTCGAAGAGGGTAGGGTCAAGAGTACTCGGATACCTAGACGTGCATGTATGAAGAAGATAATGAATCTGAAAGAAGCGAAAGAGGTATGTAAGGATCGTGACACTTGGCGAACTGTTCTCTCTGGCTACCCCGTCAGGGATTGTGCGTGAAGATAAGGAAGGAAGGAAATTATGTTAAAATTAAACGGTTAAAATCCGTAAATTTCTATTCATTCAAAATAAAACATTGCAGTATAATTTAATCAATAAATTCCTTTTCATTACAGATACAAATGAATTAGAACTACACGAAACAAATCACAGCGATACTAAGCTATCGAAACTGGAAGCCGATACTGCAATGTAACTATTAGTGCAGAAACTAAGACGAGCGTGCAGCGGTACGGGGAGTTTAGCGTACATGAGAAACATGGAATCTTATGTACTGATTTCATACGCCTAGCTGAATTGAAGGATAATTGCTAAATTTTTAAAATATAGTATTAATAAAAGATTTAAGAATTAATTGTTGTTTCTTAATATCTAAATGCGTAAAACAAAGGAGTGAAATAGTTTACATTTACAATAGTCGACATCTGCCTTTCAGTCCGAATACAATCTGAGCGTCTTCAAGGCAAGAGTGAACAGGCTTTTATTACGCTCAGACAGTGTGATTTACCATCTCTGGCTTTATCATAACTCTCACCACCAGGTGGGATTGTGGTCAAGCACTCGCTTATAATAAGTAAAAAAAGATACTTACAAATAAAATAAATTGCCTAATGATCGCGGCGTATGAATATGGCACCCTATTTCTTCCCATAGGTATCGTAAGGAATTGTCCTTACGATACCTATGAGCGGAAGTTATAAGACTTTTCTGGAATTACTATTGAGTAATTCAAGAAAAGTCTTATAACTTCCGCTAGATGACAGTCCCATCTTGCTTACACTAGACGCAAAATACCAAGATCAGCAAAAGCTAGCAGCTATAAAAGGTGCAAGAGGTTCGTTTGCTGTCATTAACCCGTTTGTCAAGCGCGACGATTTACACAAAACTCTCTATAACGGGGGAGGCCTATTTCTAGCTAGATTTTAATTGAGCTCACATGGAAGATTAATGAAGAATAAATAAACAATTTTTAGCTTGACTTTTTGTATTTACTTTTGTCCTCCAGACCAGATCTCGGTCACGGCGGCCCTTCTAAATGGATACTATCCATCTGCGCAGGACAGGACCATACAGCCTAAGCATATGCGTAAGCAGAGTTGCACTCTCTATAACTCTATATCCTCACTCTTGTAGTCTGATGGGACCGCAATCAGACACGACTGGAGATAAATCAGATGCACGACCAACGGCTTAACGTTCTATCCGAGGCACGGCGGTGAAACACCGCTAACTTATACGTGGTAGAGCCATGCTGCAGCTATATTAGTAGTATAGTTGCAGCACGAATGGGTCGGCTCGACCGGGGAAGGACCACGCTCTCACCGAATACCAGTGTAAAATGGTAGCTTGACACCACTGTGTTTCGTATGGTGAGTGTAGAGAACCGGAGACCCATTTTACTGGTAAAGAGGCATTCCATCTTAGTCCTCGGTCCAGCCGTTTAGGGGGAGTTCAGTGATAAACACACGCACAGAAGAATTATATTTATAAAGATTTACTTTGTTTTATAAACCCACAAGAAATACATTATTTTTATACAAGAAAGGCTTCCCAAATTTCCATAGTCCATCAGATAAAGAATTAAATATAAATTCTACATTAAGAACCAAAATGCGGATATTATGGTTTAACCTCAGAGAACTGAGATGGAATACCTCGTTGCCAGTATAAAGGGTTTCTAGTCCCCTTCACTCATATAATAACAGAACATTTAGCACACTAAGCAGCATTATTCCTATTTAATGCTGATATTCCATGAGCATGTTGACTTCCAGTATTATCTAACACTTAATAATCATTTGAGTTTTTTTTTTCAATCCAGTTTCAACTAAATCGTTTTCCGATCATGAATCATATCTCACCAACAGGTTTATATTAGTATTATATAAAACATTACGTCTGTTATAATGCGTAAGGCTTACAATTTGGTGACTCAAACATGCCCGAGATGCCGTTAGGATGAATATGCGGCAGTAATGCCTTCTACAAAATATGTATATTTCCATTGACGCTATTTTACAAAGTAAATAAATTAGATAAAGTTGGACTTTAGTTGCTTAAAATGACAAATACTTTCTGATTAAATTTGTTGTTCCATCATAAGAAAAATAAAACCAAGAATTACGATTCTTGGTTTTGTTAATAAAATTTTCCTGTTATGTTCCGTCTTCCGGGTTGAAAAAATAGAATAAAGTTTCTTGAAGTTACGCTGCGTAAGAGAGTCCTTTCCCATATCGTCACGTGGTTGTCGTAAGAGGCGACCTTCTACCTTCCATGACCCTACCGTCCCTAAGGTTTTATTGGCTGGCGGGAGAGGCACGCGGTACTTGGGGCTCTTTCCCACATGCACTTTCTTGATTTACTAGAAGTTTATTTCGCCTGTGTTTTGTCCCGTTCAACGTCATACCCCCCTTTGTAGGATAATAAGAAGTACTGCGTAATCGCGGCATAATAGATCCATTACTGCTTATGGTATCCATTACTGTGGGTGTATAAGAGGCAACAGAGGTAAATAAAATAGGAAACTGATAGTAGTATATTTCTGACAACATCTCAAAATAATAAAAAAGTACGATTGGCAACCAGCCCGTCATAATTAATGAACATAACTCTAGGAAGATCGATGGATGCAGGTGGTTCAGTACCGTGTTTTGTGACTTTCCTTGGGGGAGACTTTTGTTCTATAACGAACTTTTGAAGAGCTGTAATGGTGATGGTGATGATGATATAACTCTGTTTCTCGCTGTGCACTAAAGGCTGCCACAAAATACGGTTCTCAGCTACTTGTATCCATCGACTTCCTGCAAGTCTTACCAGACCCCTTTTCAGTAAACGGAGTGTAATCAGTAACTGATTACACTCCGTTTACTGAAAAGGGGTTCCAGTGATACATATTATATTAGTAAATAATCGACGATGCAAAATTATTAAGGTCAGACAAGCACAGTATGTTATAAATCAAATATAACAAAGCACTCTGTAAATATGTACTCGCGATATCTTCAGACTATCATCGACTTTTATGTTTTTGATAATGTGTAGGTTCTGTAACAAAAGCTATGTCGGCGGAGAAGGTCGGGTACTCAAGCGTTCCTGTTGCTGAGAAACATGAAGGTTAGTATATTGTTAAGGAATGATCTATTCGCATACTGAATTTTATTTTTATCAATTTCCTTTTTTAAATTTCAAACAATTTTTTAACAATATGAATTGTCTTTCCAAATTTAACGATTACTGTATTCATTTCTTATATTTACGAGTACGCGAAGACTACACATTAAATGAAACTATTTTTTTACGGATTCTATCTAGAATAGAATAGAATAGAATAGAAAAACGAATCGTCGGAAATTAAAAAGTTAAATTAAACGCAACAGAATCCGTAAAAAATAGTTTAATTTTATTACTCTATTCATCTCAAATCATCATCATATTTATTGGTTAATTATGGGATAGGTTTCTACCACAGACTGTCACGAAATATGGTCCTTAGCAGCATACATATACAACCCCTCCTTTCATCTCTCAACAGGCTGTCACTCTTTCTAGTGTTAGGCCTCTGAATAGCGCTTGTTGGTCTATGCCGAGCTGTTAATCTAGAAACTTCATTACCCATCATTTTCCAGTTTTTAGAACTATCTGCTAGCCCTTTGATACTTGAAAAGCATGAGGTATGAGGTATCCATGAGGGTTACATACGATAAAAAGCCCTTTGACACTTCGGCTCACTGATCCGTTTAACTGTATCAGTTACTCTATGCGGATTACATCGTTATTCCGTAGCTCGTTAAGCTACTTTGTGCGGCCTTATACGCCCAAGGATTGCTTCTTAGTTCTATGAGTTACTACCACAGTTGGCAACTCTTACGGCTTTTTTAATTACTGATCTAGAAGGTCGTCGATTATCGTCGTCGATGTCGTCATCTCCGAATGCCAGAGTAAGAATATTCACAATCATATTTCGCCTCCTACCTGTGGAAAAAATTAGGTTTTCTTAGAATAAAGGTGAGCACACGTAAAGGAATGCTGTGAGCTATAGATACCTACATGTATTCTCAATTAAGTGACAAAATATAGATATAAAAGGGAGCCTTTTTCTCTACACCCATACAAAACACAGCGTCATTAAGCTATTTTCGCAAGTATTCTGTAAGAGCATGCTGCGGTTGTGTGGCGGTTCTATTACGTTAAATATAAGAGGCGACTTTAGAAATGCCTGAATAATCTCATTGATTTCGATAGATAGTGGTATAAATATCTAGCTTATACCTGACGTAAATACCCAAGGCACACAGGAAGCAGAGTCAAAGTCACGAAATGTCTTACACTGCGATTTAGGTTAGATTTGTCTTGCAATTAAGGCGAATAATTGAGCTTATGTTTACCAATAATCTGTCGCAATTTGATAAAAAAGAATTAGAAAGCTGACAAATTGTTATCTGCTAACATACTTATCAATAACTTTGACGACTGCATTCCCTGCCGATAGAAGTGTGAACTTTGTTTTACCCATTTTCAACATAAACCATCGCATTCACGGAAACTGTTCATCTATCAGACAAACAAAATGCTAGGCTTGTGTAGTGAATCTGTCTTAATAAATATCAATACAATACAATACAATACAATAATCACGCCTGTTACGCAGAGGGGTAGGCAGAGAATACGGACTTCCATTTGGCGCGATCCTGACACACCTCTCTCGCCTCATTTACATCCATATATTTACGCATACACGCTCGTCGGTTAAGAGTACTCCTAATCTGGCCCATTTTCAATGTATCGCCGATTTGGTAGATAAATCTTCGTCTATGGCGTCCCTTCCCAACTTTGCCGTTCACTTCTGAAACATAAGTTTGCTTTGCCACTCTTTCCTCGTTCATTCTTTCTACGTGACCAAACCACCGAAGCATTCCTTTTTTAATACTAGTCACAACGTCATCTTGCAAACCATACTTTTCTCTTATCACACTATTTCTCACCCTGTCATTCAGATCCAGCCCTAGCATACTCCTTAATGACCGCATTTTCTACAGCCTTTATTCTAGTCTCATGCTTCTTTTGTAAGACCCAACTTTCACTACCATACATTAAAGTAGGGACTAATACAGCATCATGAATTGCCATACGTGCCTTCTTTTATACATTATGACTCTTCATAATATCGACTGTAATATTATCTTGAACATTTTGAACTATGTCGATATTAATCTAAGTAAGATTTTTTGTCACCCCATTTCTATATTTCTTTTTTCATTCTTATCATTAGTACCACTGTCGTGTAAAATATCGCACTGATATAATATATAACTTGTTCTAAGTTGAAAAGAGCTCTCTAATTATTACGTCTCATACCTTAAAAAATTCTCTTTGTTGCTAGTTTGGTAGTGGATATTCTTACACCGCCACTACACGGTATAAAAATATCCACTATCCCGTATCATCCCATGGGTGTCCTAAGAGGTGACACAGGGAAACAAATGAGGATACGGGCAGCAGCGTCTACCTTATAACGACTAAAAGTTAAAAAATAACTGTGGTTGTTAACCCCTATGAGGCAATTTATGGGGAAGCCTATGTCCAGCAGTGGACTTTAATAGGTCGTGATGGTAATTAGTTTGGTAAACATGAGAAGAATTTTACCTTTCGCTTATTTTTAGTTACATCTTGATTTATGGGAATATTACCAAGAGTAATAATTTATCTAAATCCGAAAAAAAATCAATATAGTATCAATTTAAAATTCCAATTCGAATACATTGTATAAAACTTCAGACCATCCCTGGTGATAAAACAGGAATGACTTGATAGAATTTGCTTATACAAGCAATTTCATATTAAGGACAATAGTAATAACTTATAATTTTCCTTTTCAGACTCGCTGGAAACAAATCCGCCGAAAGGTTTCGGAGTGCGCCATGTTCAAGCACTACTTCTTTTCATGAGTTTATCTGTTGGTTTGACAATGAGAGCTCACCTTAGTGTTACATTAGTGGCTATGACAGGTCATGGAATACAAAACTCTAATGTGATTTGTAGTAATTTGATACATGATAACAGAATATTTAATTCGAGTATAAATTCAACTGTCAATGCTGATTTCAAAATTTTAAGTAAAATGACTACAGAAGATTGTACAGGAAATAATCAAACATCATTTTGGAATATTTACCGTGTAAGTATAACATTAAAGAGTAAAAAAATTCTGTGCCGTTGCACTGATAACGATAAATATTATGTTAATTTCATGTAATCATGTCATGTTCTGTCATCATGTTGCAGGGCTGCGCATTCATTTATTTTTTACTCAACACAGACACTTGTTGTGTTATTTTGTCTATGTGGTCAAAAACATCGCTAAATTTGGGAACTTTTTTAGCTCTTAGTTTGTCTTTTTTAGTATTTACTTAGTTTTTAGTGACCAGCGTTTTCATAAAATTATTTAGGAAATAAATAATGTTTCTTGTCATATGATACATTAAATTAACTCATTATTTGATTCTTATTATTACATTAAACTTCGTAACTTTCTTAGAATAAAGCTATATTTTCGTCGGTATAATCATAAGCCTACGGCTGTCAACTCCTACAAAGGCCTACCTGCAAGCGTTACTTAGTCCGGTTGTCTGGTTGATGCATCAAGTTGCTTCCAGCTGACAGACAACCAGCCATTTTCACTTGCTAGCCGTATGTAATATTATGTTATATCTTGCTATTTCCGATGTAACAAGATTTTAAAGATTAAATTTATGCTAATTACTGGTTTTCTTCTTAAATAACCGGGTAAAGTCTTAATTACATCTTCTGTTTTAGATTCGATTTGATATTTTTCGTTTTAGGGTACCTTTGATGTTGCTGAATTCAAGATATCAATTATGATTAAAGCCCTATTGTAGTACGGTATGTAGGTACCAAAAAGTTATCTTGCTCCCTGCAAATGCAGATTGAAAAAGTACTAAAGCGGGGAGAATTTGAGAAAATATACGTACGTCCAAATCTCATAGATATCACGGCGGACACTGACTGGGGTGGCCGCGTGCGTTTAAATGTAGGTTTTTTTATTAAGTAATTTGTAAAATGCGTTCATAACAATACTAATAAGCATTTCATTTGATATTAGTTTTACACGGTTTATTACATAATCTCTCTGCAGGGTACACTTTTGAATATCCATTTAGTGATATGTTTATGATTTTTTTTAATAAAGCCAATTATAATTATACGCAGACATCAATATCACACAACCCTTGTCCGTTGCTTCCAGTTTTTATTAAATTATTTATTTTTAATTTTTTGAAATTGAAGTAACTAAGGAATTCCCAGTAGTATCTGATGGTAAGTGGCTATTGTGCTCATGGATATCTGAAGCGAACTTCGAACAAATGCTCGAAGTCAAGGCTACAGATGCATTGTTACCGTTAAGAACTAACATGGAATTCCTTACAACCTGGAATTACTTTTTTTAATTTAATTTTTTTTTTATTTTAATTAATTGGCTCTTTATACTGTACAAATCAGAACACAGCAGTGATGGCATTGCTTTTTGCCTTTTTATCTATTTGGGTAGATAATAGAATGGTACCTAGTACTTAATTAATTTTGCAAAATTTACAAAAAAAGTTGAAGTTCATAAAGAAATTGTATCCGCGACTGATCGTCACTGCTGGTAAAAAGAAGGCTGGTTCTTTTTTGCTCAAAGACGATATAGCGATTATAGCGATTCAGCGAGGAAACGTAGTCAGCGTTCTTTGCACGATACCACGGGGAGTAGGACTGTATGACAATTAAAATTTTTAGTTCTAGTTTTTCTTTATTATAGTTTTTTTTTAATTGTGTGTAACCTTTTAGTTGGATTTAAAACTAAATTAATAAAATTCATTTTATATACAGAGATAAGGGAAAATATACAGAGATCCAAAAAAATTACTGCAACGTCGCCTTTATATTTGTGATATCAAAGTGTGCGTACTCTAATATTTTTTTCTTTATACATAAATCAATGCTTAAACAAATATTTAACTTCTGAAAACACGAATTCTGGTATGCTCCAAATACTTGTACTCTTTATTAACGTATTTTTAAATACAAACATATTACGACTTTATTTGTGTTGTAAAATAAATGTTCTCAGTAATTTTTTCTTGCACGTAGACGTACAACTGGTCGAAACCGAAACAAGAAATGATATTATTCGCGTTTTTCGTCGGTTACACAAGCGGGATGATTCCCATGGGACTGATAGCACAGAAATTTGGCGGGAAACTGCCGATTTGCGTTGCGTTGGCTGCGAATGGGGTGTTATCAATTTTGACGCCATGGATGCCTTTATTTGTAGGTACACAATATTTTTATTAGTAGAATAATCTCTTTACATATAAATTGAAAACGTAAACATTGTTTATTATAAAATGTTTTTTACATGCCATGCTGCAGCTATATTAGTAGTATAGTTGTAGCACGAATGGGTCGGCTAGACCGGGGAAGGACCACTCTCTCACAGAATACCAGCGTGAAATATCAGCTTAACACTGCTGTGTTTCGTTTGGTGAGTGTAGAGAATCGGAGAATTTTTTTTAGTGGAAAAGAAGCATTCCATCTTAGTCTTCACGGGTGACTACGCATCTGCATTTTGATTCGCAAACGAGGATAAATGTAGATGTTTATGGGCCACAGCAATCACCATCAGGTGAACTATGTGCTCGATTGTCAAACTATAAAAAATATATAAAATGTGAGATAAAATTAAGAAGTGCAAAACGAACTTACAGTTTACTAATAGTACGTGACTAGTGTAGTCCATGGACACCATATGGCAGCTAACTTCAAACAAAGAAAGCTACAGATGTGTTGTCACTCTGAGAACTGACATGCTGACAACTGAAATACCGCACAGTCTGTAGTTATGATAAGATTATATGTATATATATATACCTAGTCAGGTCATAAATTCTGTCACATATTTAATATAAAATAATTGAATTGAGACAAGTTTATTCATTATGTAACCATTTATATACCAAAATGAACTTAACAAAACATAGATTCTTATGATACTAAAGTTTATTCAAAATGACCTCCGTGATTTTGAATGCAGGCCTTCAATCTGCGCGGCCAGTCGTCTATCGCAGCACGAACGAGGTCCATGTCAATATCGGCGGCTGCCTTAATCAAGGATGTCTTGAGTGACTCCAAATTGGGATGAGGCTTTGACCATACCTTTTCCTCCAAGTGTTGCCATATCTTGTAATCTAACGGATTCAAATCTGGACTGGAGGAGGGCCAGTCTTGTGTGCTCTTCGCTCTATGAGCTGGCGTCGAATCTTGTTGGAATACCCAGTGCCTGTTATTGAACATGGTATGAGAAACAGGTTCCAGAAGGTTAATCAGGACTGTATTTTGATACACAACTGCATTCGTTTTTACACCTTTCTCACAAAAATGTACCTCTGTTAAGCGCCAACAAGAAACTCCCAACCATACCATGAGCGAGGATGGAAAATGACCTCGTTGGACACGCGGAATACGGTTGCTCGCTTCTTCACTACTGTGTGCGTACACCTTATCATTTTGTTTGTTGTAGCTCTCTTCTACGGTAAAAATTTTTTCATCCGAAAAAAGAATTTCCCGATATTTTTTCCCGCGTATCGCTTCAACAAAGCGCGGCATCTCTTCAGTCTCAGGTCCATTAGACGAGTATTCAAACGATGTCCTGTTTTTCTTCGATATGCCCGAAGCCCTAAGTCTTCATTTAACACCCTTTTCACCGTGGTTCTGCTTAACCCCATCTGAAGGGCCAACAGTTTATGCTTACATTTGGGATTTCTTTGAATTTGCGCCTTCACAGCTTTTATCACTGCTGGAGTCCTAACAGATCGAGGGCGACCACTTCTTGACCTGTCATCTACACAAGAGTCTTCATAGTATCGTTTAATGGTACGATACGCGAATCTTTTGGTTATATTGAAATTTTTCAGTATGTCAAAAATTTGAATTGGCTCGTAACCGCAACGATGCAACACGGTCTTCTTTAAGCGTCCACTCCATATTTAATAATGAGTAAAATTCTAAAAAGTATACAGTTTTATTTTCATGAACAATTCGAAATTCGAATTCAATAAACGTTTTTGTGGCCAGCATTCTAAAAGAAAAATTTTACTGTGTGACAATACTTATTAGCTGACTAGGTATATATGCTTCAGACCTGTTCTTCAACAAAGACATTCTCATAGTCCGATGGTACGGTAATTCGACACGACTGGAGAGAGAACATGCTCAAGACTATCGAGTTAACATGATTTCTGAGTACCACTGAGAATTTCTTGTCGGAAGAACCCAATAACTGATTTAAACCCAGTGGTAAATTGGACCAGATGGTATACCAGCTATAGTCCTAAAGGCTTGTGCACCTGAGTTGTCTCCTGTGTTTTACACGCTGGTTCCGCCTCTCATTTAGTATTGGAATAGTGCCAAAATCCTGGAAGCTGGCCAACGTGCAGCCTGTTCCAAGAAAAGGCAGCCGCGCCGACCCTGCCAATTATCGTCCAATCTCAATTACCTCCATACTCTGCAAGATTATGGAGCGTATATTGAATGCCCGTTTAATGGCATACCTAGAACAGAATGACCTCCTTAGTGACCGGCAATATGGGTTTCGCCGAAATCGGTCGGCTGGGGACCTTCTAGCGTATGCCACGTATGGGGCGAGGTACTCGAGAACAGTGGGGAAGCACTTGCTGTTTCCCTTGATGTCTCGAAGGTCTTTGACAGAGTTTGGCACACTAGCATTTTGGGTAAGCTTCCAGCGTACGGCTTATCCCCTGGTCTGATTGAATGGGTAAAGGACTTTCTGAGTGAACGGTCTTTCCGGGTCGTCGCCGATGGCTGCTCATCCGATCCTATGGCGACCAACGCCGGTGTTCCTCAGGGGTCCGTTCTCTCCGCAACTCTCTTCCTGCTGCATATAATGATCTGCTTATGCCCGGTTTCTATGGGTTTGTAGACGATAGAACAGTTGTTGAGATATACCAACCAAGTCCTCGGGCCAGTCGGGATCAAATCCAGATCGAAAGAGAAGCTATGGTAGAGCGTGTGAATCTCGCATTACAGGCAGTCTCCGATTGGGGCGATGCCAATCTTGTGAAGTTCAACGCCTCCAAAACACAAGCGTGTCTCTTCACTGCAAAAAGGAGCCAGCTCACATTGGCTCCTTCTTTCCGAAATGTATCACTGAAATATACCGACCGCCTTCAGTTGTTAGGGTTTGAAATATCCCCAAATTTGAAGTTCGAGCGGTTCATTGAGTCCAAGGCCAAAGCAGCTGCAAGAAAGCTGGGAGTCCTTTTTTATAGGATCGGGTGACAACGAGCACACAGTCCACCTGATGGTAAGTGGTTACTGTAACTTATAGACATCTACATCTACCCTCAATAAAGACTCAAGATTCAGATGCGTAGTCACCCGTGAGGACTAAGATGAAATGCCTCTTTGCCAGTAAAAAGGGTCTCCGGTTCTATACACTCACCATACAAAACTCAGCAGCATTAAGCTGCTATTTTACGCTGGTTTTCTGTGAGAGCGTGGTCCTTTCCCGGTCGAGCCGACCCATTCGTGCTACAACCATAATATAGCTTCAGCATGGCTCTACCACGTAAAAAGGTGCGGCGATACTTCACGCCGGGACAGCTGCTTACTTTATATAAAGCGCAAGTCCGGTCGTGCATGGAGTATTGCTGCCATATATGGGCTGATGCTGCAAAATGCCACCTAGCAGCTTTGGACACAATGGAGAGGCGTGCTAAGAGGCTTATTGGTGACCCGAATTTGGTCAAACCTAATCTTACCAGCCTCGAACACAAACGTAAAGTAGCCAGCCTTTCGATTTTCCACAGGATGCATTTCGGAGAGTGTGCGCAGGAATTACATAATTTAATTCCACCCTCTTGCTTCCACCATCGGACAACCAGACTTTCGGCCAGTCTTCACCCTTTCGTTGTTGACTTACTACGCATTCGAACCAAACGGTTCGCCACTTCGTTCATTATGCGTACAGCAAAGGAGTGGAATAAGTTGCCAGCATCTGTCTTTCCATCCGATTACAGTGTGGGTGTCTTTTTTTTATAGGAGAGGGGGAAAACGAGCATGCGGCTCACCTGATGGTAAGTGACTACCGCCGCCTATGAACAGCTGCAACACCAGGGAGGGAATCACAGATGCGTTGCCGGCCTTTTAAAAAGGAGTACGCTCTTTTCTTGAAGGCCCCTAAGTCGTATAGTTCCGGAAAAATTACTGATGGTAATCGATTCCACAAGGAAGTCGTGCGAGGAAGAAAACATCTTCTAAATCGCACAGTGGTGGACCACCAATCATCCAGATGGTGTGGATGGTATCGGGAGTTCTGCCACGATGTGCGTTCGTGAAATTTGGCGGCTGGGATTAGTCCGAACAATTCCTCAGAGCACTCCCCGTGGTAGATGCGAAAAAAAATGTAAAGGGATGCAACATCTCTTCGCAGCGCCAATAAATCGAGCCGATCGGAAAGGACTCGGTCGTCGACGATTCGAGCCGCTCTGCGCTGGATGCGGTCAAGTGGAAGGAACTGGCACTGGGGAGCCCCTGCCAGAGATGGGAACAGTATTCCATATGAGGCCGAACCTGCGCCTTGTAAAGTTGCAGGCGGTGTGCCGGCATGAAATACTGTCCCGCTCTGCTGAGCACGAACTTTTTAGAGGCCAATTTGGCCTTCTCTTCCAAGTGACCACGAAACTGCACGTCATTCGATATGTCGACTCCGAGAATTCCAATACTGGCTGAGGCAAGAAGGGGAGTGCCTTGAAACTGAGGAGATACGACAAAGGGGTTCTTTTTAGCGGTAAATGCAAAAACTTGTGTCTTCTGAGGATTAAACTGGACTAGATTTAGTCGCCCCCAATTCGAGACTTTATTCAGCAAAGACTCGATTTCAGACACAAGTTTTTTCCGGTACTCGGTGACGTTTTTCCGAGAAATATTGGCACGGCCGATGTATAGAGCATCACCAGTACTGTCATCCGCATAGCAATGAATGTTACCAGTTAGCAACATATCATTGATATGCAGAAGAAACAGCGTTGGTGATAGCACACAGCCTTGTGGAACACCAGCGTTAATAGGCTTGTAGTCGGAGCATGCACCGTCTACAACGACCTTGATGCTCCGATCTGCAAGGGAACTGATGATCCAATCGCACAATTTCTCGGGAAGCCCATAGGAAGGGAGCTTCGAAAGAAGCGCTTTGTGCCAAACTTGTCTTCAAGGCAAGAGTGAATAGGCTTTTGTTAAGTCAGTGCGCTTCACCTTCTTAGGCTACATCACCACTTACCATCAGGTGGGATCGTAGATAAGCGCTGGCTTAGTAGAATATAAAAAAACCCCGATCCGGGATTCGAACCCGGGACCTCAAGAAATTTTATATTGATTAGGATTTTTTCCCTTTTTGCTATTTTATGGTAAGAAAAATATAGGGGCTTATAAATAAATTATTAACTATACTGCGCAGAAGAATAGCCTCCCTGATGCGTCGCGTGCAAGACAGCACTAACAGCTTCCTTATATGGAAGGCAAGATTGCCCGATGAAGAGGCACTGGAATACAGTGCATATGGGTTCCAGGCCCAATATGTTTAACAATAAATGATAATTTTGGTAATTTATAATAATTTGTATTCTGTAAATTTACTAACCCCTAGTTTTAAGTGTACTAACAAAGTGGGTGTACCTGAATAATGAATAAATAAAAAATAATAAATATATGAATATATTTTAAAGTTTGACCTATAAAATATGATTGATAATCTTTACATATAAAATTCCGATGTACCTGTGTTTGTAATACTTCTCCTTCTAAACGGCTTGACCGATTTTGATGAAATTTTATTGGGTCACCTGGATGATACTTAGCTAAATTTGAGGTGACACTATTGTTAAGGTCCAGAAATCAACAGTGCAAAGCGGGGCGGATTGCTAATGTTTTAGTACTTTGATCCAGGGTGGCTGGATATCAGTATGCATCGGGCGACTTTTTCAAGGAATTACACAGGCAGCATTTTACCCCAGTATTCACACACTCCTTGGGAAATGGGCACCACTTTCCGAGAGAGGGCGTCTCAGTACTTACATTTATACAGGTAAGATATAAATCAGAACCTGTACATCTAACATATTTTAATTTATATCTCTCTATCTGAGGGTCTATATGTAGTGTATATGTATATATATTTATCTGTGGTTTCTTGTCGCTGCGTACATGTTAAAGTTTTGATTGTTTTTTTTAGAATATTAAAGTGACCAAAGACTTTAAAGCCCACTTGATGGTGATTAACTATTGAAGCCCATGGACACCTGTATCCAACTTTAAACAAACACGGCTACAGATGCATTGTCACCTCTGATATGGATTCTAATATGGAGAGCCTAATAGTCTGTAATTATTTTGATTCTGTATGTCTTTCAAACAGAAACAGTAGTTCATGCACTGCTGCTTTGCGGCATAATTAGGTACGATGGTGATACCTACATAGACGGACTCTTAGACATAAAAGTATTGGTGCCTTTCTAATTAGGTGCAGCTTTCAATGGCTGCAGTGACAAATTATCATCAAGCGCATTTCAATCTCGATAGTTAGCATGACGTTATGAAATTTTCTTGATATGAATCTTAATTTTCTTGTTATGAAATGTTATGAATGCCTTATTTCCAATAAAAAGAGTCTCCGGTTCTCTACACTCAACATACGAAACACAGCAGCGTTGAGTTTCTATTTTACGCTGGTATTCTGTGAGGGCATGGTCGTTCCCCAGTGCTACAAATATCTTACTAACATAGATGTAGCATGGCTTTATTATGTAGTAGAGTACAATATTTGAAAATAACTTTGCAACGTATAAAACTTTTTTCTTTTACTTTTTAATACGTATTTAATGTAATTTTATATTTTAATTCACATCACCGTGCCATGAGATGTAAATTCGACAGCTCTCTATGAATTTGAGATTATCATTAGTGTTCAGTAGTCAAAGCTTATTCAAACGGGTATATATCACGAGTCTAGGTATTTTATAGTGTATACTGGATGGTTGTGCTTTCATCTATCGTAAGACATAATATTTACACAATTAACTATTAGTTGTGGTCTTCTAGTGGTCGAAATTCGATCGTAATTCATTTATCGTCCACACTGTTCTTGTATCTATCTTTAATATCCGTATTTGGGTAGTAGTTTAGTTGATAGAGATGTTTGAACCCATCAATATTAATATATCAGCGATCATATTTATAAAAAAAAATTACTTTTTAACTTTTATATATGATGAATATGCGAAATGTATTGAGTCGTGTGACTATTATGTCAGAATGTATTTATGGTCTGAACCAGAGTACGAAACCTATCCAATTGCAGAGAGGTGTAAGATAGGGTGACGCCATATCCCCGAAACTCTTCACCGCTGCATTGGAAGACGTTTTCAAGCTTCTGGACTAGAAACGATACGGTATCAACATCAATGGCGAGTACATCACGCACCTTCGATTTGCCGACGATATAGTCCTTATGGCAGAATCGCTGGAGGACCTAAGCACTATGCTCAATGACCTCAATAGTGCTTTTCAACGGATAGGTCTTAAGATGAGCATGGACAAAACAAAGATCATGTTTAATGTCCATGTCACACATAGCCGGTAGTTGTTGGGAGCACTAAGCTCAAAGTTGTTGACGAGTTTATTTACCTGGGACAAATAGTCCGATTAGGTAAGTCCAACTTCGACCGAGAGGTCAATCGACGGATTCAAATCGGTTGGGCAGCGTTCGGAAAATTACGGCACATCTTCTCGTCAGGTTTACCTCAAAACTTGAAAACGAGACTGTACAACCAGTGCGTGTGGCCAGTGATGACCTATGGAACTGAGACGTGGTCTTTCACTGCTGGCCGGATGAGGAAGTTCAAGGTCGCTCAGCAAGCTATAGAGATCGCTATGCTCAGAGTTTCTCTGCGTGTTAAACTTAGAAATGAGGATATCCGCAGTAGAACCAGAGTGACCGACATAGCCCAACGGATTAGTAAGCTGAAGTGGCAATGGGCCGCCCATATAGCTCGAAGAACCGACAACCGATGGGGAAAAAAGTTTCTCGAGTGGCAGCCTCGTACCGGCAGGTGAAGTGTAGGGCGTCCCCCCACTAGATGGAGCCTGGTAAGATATGCAGGAAGTCAATGGATGCAGGTGGCTCAGGACCGTGCTTTGTGGCATTACTTGGGGGAGGCTTTGGGATTCAGCAGTGGACTTGTGGAGGGCTGTAATAATGATGATTATGTCACATTAATAAAACTTAATATTGCTCAATGGCAAACCATTGAGCTAAATAAAATGGATATATTATTTATTAAATGACACACACACCCACATACACACACACACACACTCACACAGAGAGAGAGAGAGAGAGAGAGAGAGAGCGAAATTAGCTCCGACAGGTATCATGTAGTTTGGTAACGAACACCGTGTGCCGATCGAATGATTCGGTGATACACTCGGATACGCTGATAGAATAGAATAATTTTATTCAATATAGATTATTATATAATACTTATTGAAAGTCATTTTCTTGCTTACCACTTGTTCGGAAAATACCTCTGTCTTGGGAAAACCAGCAAGAAACCCAGCGACAGTTTTTTTAAACATATTTCACTTTACAATATATTTGTAAAGTATTTTAAATGAAATTTAATAGAACCAGGATGGTGGCGATCACCTCATTCCCATGGTTTATTTTCACTTATGTATTCTTTGATATTATAATAACCCTTTTTATGAAAATGTTCTTTAATAAAACATGTTTATTGACACATTTTGTATATTTTCTGTGATTATGTTGTAAAGGCGTATACATTGCCCCATAAATGAGTTAGGAGTTCTGTGGAGTATAGTAACTGGTATTACAAGCTTATGTTTGTTCCTAATGTTCAAAGTATGAATATATTTATTCTTATCAAAACTCTTTATGTTTTTATGTACATAATATATAACAATTTCATAAATATATTGCGATACCAAAGTTAATAGGCTTATTTTTTTTTAATTTTTCTCTAAGGGATTCTTTACAATTTAAGTCATAAAGTCATTTAAGATACATTTTGAGAGCTGATGAACGAAAGATAGATTGACAGCAAGTGAACTAGTTCATTTGTAGTTCTTGTTTGCGAACTACCCATTTTTCACCCCATCCCTGAGACAAATTATTAACATTTTTTTTTCTAACGCCGTGCGAAATTTGGTAGCTCAGGTACGATATTTCTACTGGTCAATTTTTATTGGCTATTTTGAAGAGTTAGTGAACATTATACGAACAAAATTAATTTGCATAAGAACTTTAATATGAATACCTAGTAGCGTGTTACACAGTTACGAAACTGCAATGTATAATTTATTTTATTTAATTACTTATACTAATTAGAAACTTTGAGAACCTTTCGCACGTCATGTTTGCATAACCCTTTTGTTTGTTTACTTGAGATTACAAGCACGTACGCGATTATATAATTACACACTGTAAGGCATTTCATCTTAGTCTTCAAGGGTGACAACACATCTGTGGCCCTTTTGTTTGAAATTGGTTTCAGGATTCTATGGATGTCGTCTGTTACGCTTATACTTTACACGAGTAATTCTTATTAGTTATTACATAATATAGAAGTACTTTTTATGGAATTAGGTTGACAAGTGAGCATACAGTCCACCTGATGGTAAGTGGATACTGCGGCCTATAGACTTCTACATCTATCATCGATTAAGAATAAAAATGCAGATGCATCGCCACCCCTGAGGACTAAGAAATAATGCAACGTTACCAGGAGAAAATGTCTACTCCTACCACTAGAAACACAACAGCATTAACCTGCTGTTTTACGTAGGTATTCTATGAGATCGTGGTATTTCCTCGGTAGAGCCGAACCATTCGTGCTAATAACACAGCTGAAGCATGGATCTACCACGTGATACAATCATAAAAATTATGTTTTCCGTTAAAGATTACTTAATTAATCTGACTTCATCTGTTCTTTTTGTCAGTTCTTTAGGTCAGTCATATGTATAAAGCTGCGGCATGACTCTGTCAAGTAAAATCTTTTATTTAGATAACTATTTACTTTCCAAGTTTATCTTGATAGATGTCATCCCTGAGAAAATGATAATCGTTTTCTAACATCGAGCATATCCAAATCAGTCGCTTAAGTATTGTAATATTTATAAAAAAAACTTGTATGAGTTAAAAGATAAAAAAATATAATTTTGCCTTTATACTACATATTGTAATATTTATATACCACAATTCAAACTGTCAGTTTAGAAAAAAAGAGACGGATAATATCAGAATAAATCTTAGAAATAAAGTAGAGAATGAGGAAAGTATATTCTTAGAAGAAAAAAAAAACAAATTTCACGGATTTTATCGCGTTTAATTTTAACTTTTTATTCCCGTCATTTTGGGCATTTTACAGTCACGGGCAACCCCGAAACGGCTAAAATCTATACAAATAAATAAAATTGAAGTATCTGTTTGTAATGTCGCAATAACAGTTTTTTACTATATGCATATGAAAGTATATACGGTGCTTATAACAAAAACACGATTTTTGAATTTTTTGTCTGTCTGTCTTTCTGTCTGTCTATCTGTCTGTTTGATCCGGCTAATCTCCGAAACGGCTTGACCGATTTTGACCGAACTTTTACTGACAAATAGCTGATATTATAAGGAGTAACTTACGGTACTTTTATTTTAGAAAAAGAATTAGGGTTCCGCGCAAAAAATTAAAACCCATTTAATCCAATCGTAATAATATACGCGCGGGCGAAGTCGCGGGGAACAGCTAGTATGTAATAAAAGTTAAAATTAAATGCGATAAAATCCGAAAAATTAGTTATGTTTCATATATAGCATTCAGGTAAATATAAGAAATCATTAGAAAATATGGTAAATATTTTAACCCATTTATTATTTATTATTGCACCTCAAGAGGAAAATGAACCAAGATATGGGTAGCAGCGTCTTCCTAATAACAACTAAAAAAATAAAATACAGATGATGCCAAGGTTAGGAACTATGGCGAATATCACCTATAGGGCATGATGTAGGGC